GTTAAACTCGTGGTGAAGAAAGCATGGCGGCTGAAGGCGATCGAAGGAAAAAAGGTCTTCTGTTCTATTATCTTTGAAAACAGAGACGAAAAAGGAATAATTTGGCCCGTAGAGCAGCAATGAATCGACTATCTACGGAGATAATATCACCAGAGATATTCACGGAAATATTAATGTTCTTAGCCGAGATTTAATTACTGTACCCCGCAGGGACGACGTGTGGGGAGGCGTGTGAGAGGCGGAGAAACTATTAAAAGATTAGGCGGTTTTTCTTTCATGTACGTCCGCCATTTTTAGGTCATCGGCTTTGTAAAGCCTGGCTTAATTCGTTGAGAATGCGCTCTTAAACAGACTAGTTTATTTCATCTGCTTTATAGACAGGAGATTTGAACAGTATTTTATTCTCCAAAACATTAAACTTTTAGGAGGACCATGATATCTTTCTTCAGAAATTACAGATTGAGATGTTTCTGAAGGCTCAGGTAGTTTCCTAACCAAACAAAACAAAAACTTATCATACCCAATGTTTTGTTATTAACCTTCATACAGAGATACCTTAATTTCAATTTATTACTATTTTTTATGTTACTGTAATGTTGGTTTGTTGCATCAAAAAAAAAAAATTTTTTTTACACTTACCCAGGTTTTATTTGTTATGATACTTAATAATCTTAGTAGTTTTATTTATTTTAGATGACATTATAATTGTATTTAGTAACTTTCCAGGAGCCCTAAATGACCTACTGTGTTATCCCAAGGAATAAAATTACTAACATTGTTTTGCTTTTGAGCAGCATGAAAAGCATTTAAAGTTTCCATTACTTTTTTGCTCATTATTATTATTATTATTTTCTTATAATTTTTTTTGCAGTAAAATTTTGCCAGCAAGCTTCTTAGTTGTCTGTTTGAGGAAATCATGATCATAAGACATATTGGTTTTAACTGGTCTTTTTGAAATATTCTATATTTAAATAGTATGATATGACTACTAGTAGTCTCATGCTTTCTTGACCTAAGTATATAATACATATTATCAGGTATGTTTGTGTGTCATTTATATTATGGTAAAAAAATGAAAATAAACTTCAAGAAAACAAGTATGGATAAGATTATTTTACACATTTAGTTCAATGAACTACTGGTTTATGTTAGATCTTATAGTAGGTATTGAACAGTGAAAAGGGTTCTGAGAAGAATGCAAATGGTATATTTTAAATTTTTCAATGAACTTTGTCATGAGTTAAAAGGGATTTTGTAAAAAAATAACAATTATATGTTGCACAAGGAAGTATTTGTTGTAGTAGAATAAAATGATGGTGATGTTGATGATACTTTTATTATATGGTCAACAATTAACAAATTGTTTCCATGTAGCTGCTTAAGAACCCAGACAGAGACAAAGGCAGAGACAGTGAGAAGTATGGGAGGAATACAAAGGAAGACAGGCCAGGTCAGGAGAAGTCTCCTGTCAAGGAGACCAGCAACAGTAGACCACAGAGTGGGAAGGAGCGGGACAGGGAAAGAAACAGGTGGATATTGACCTAGTTTTCTTTGACCTGGTTTTAGTTGACCTAG